ACCACATCTTCTTTATCCATTCATACACTGATAGATAATTCAGTTGCTTCCATTATTTTGGCTATTGTAAGTAATGCTGCAATAAACATAGGGGTACATATATCTTTTTGAATTAGTGTTTTCATTCTCTTTGGGAAAATACCCAGCAATAGATTTACTGGAGCATATGATATTTTTATTTTTAATTTTTTCAGGAATTTTCATACTGTTTTCCACAATGGTTGTGCCAATTTTGTTGTGCTGGTGCCAATTCCACCAGCAGTGTGCAAGAATTCCCTTTTCTCCACATCCTCAACAACACTCATTATTTCTTGTCTTTTTGATACTAGCAATTTTGACTGGTGTGAGGTAGTATCTCACTGTGGTTTTGACTTGCATTTCCCTAATGATTGGTGATGTTGCACATCTTTTCATGTGTTGTTGGCCATATGTATGTCTTCTTTGGAAAAATGTCATTTAGGTTCTCTGCCCATTTTTGGATTGGATTGTTTGTTTGTTTTTTGTTATTGGGTTGTATACGTTCTTTATATATTTTGGATATTACCCCTTATTGAATATATCATTTGCAAATATCTTCTCCCATTCAGTGGGTTGCCTTTTTGTATTATTGATGGTTTCCTATACTGTGCAAAACCTTTTTATTTTGATGTAGTCCCAATAGTTTATTTTTGCTTTTGTTTCCCTTGCTTCAGGAGACATATCTAGAAAAATGTTGCTATGGCTGATGTCAGAGACATTACTGCTTATGTTGTCTTCAAGGATTTTTAAGGTTTCAGGTCTCATATTTAGGTCTTTCATCCATTTTGAGTTTATTTTTGTATATGGTGTAAGAAAGCAGTCCAGTTTTGTTCTTTTGCATGTAGCAGTCCAGTTTTCCCAGCATCATTTGTTGAAGAGACAGTCTTTTCCCATTGGATATTCTTCCCTGCTTTGTGGAATTATAATTGACCATATAGGTGTGGGTTCATTTCTGTATTTTCTATACTGTTCTCTTGATCTGTGTGTCTGTTTTTGTGCTAGTACCATACTATTTTGATCACTACAGCTTTGTAATATAACTTGAAGTCTAGACTTGTGATGCTTCCAGATTTGCCTTTTATTTCTTTTCTTGTCCAACTGCTACAGCTGAGACTCCTGGTACTGTGTTGAATAAAAGTGTCAAGAATGGACATCCTTGTCTTGTTCCTCATCTTAGAGGAAAAGCTTTCAGTTTTTCACCATTGAGTATGATATTAGCTGTGGCGTTTGTCCTTTCTGGCCCTGATAGCATTGCTGGTTTCTAATGTATTACAACAAATATTCACCATACATCATCTATTTTCAAGATTCTTTGAAACTCTACTGTAATGGTAAGCTTATTTAGAAATGGAACAATTACATTAAAACTAACATTTGGTAATTTAAGCAATTTATAAATGCTTGTATTGATAAGCATACTTTACTCAGAAGTATTTTTACTGTGGAATATCTCAGAATTGCATTACATCTTTGAGAATTATTTGGTTTGCCAAATGATTTTTTTTATTGTGGTAGAATTCACATACTATGAAAGTCACTGTTTAACCATTTTTAAATGTGCAATTCAGTGGCACTTAGGATATTCACAGTGTCATGCAACTTTCAACACTATCTTGCTCCCTCATTTTCATCACCCCAAAAAATCAGCAGGAGACATTAAGCAATCACTCCCATTTGCCCCTCCTCACAGCCTTTAGATACCACTAATCTGTTTTCTGTTTCTGTAAATTTGCCTACTCTGGGTATTTCATATAAATAGAATCCTACACTATGTGGCCTTCTGTGACTGGCTTCTTTTACTTAGCATATTTTCTAGGTTCATAAATGTTTTAGCATGTATCAGTACTTCATTCCATTTCTAAGGCTAAATAGTATTCCATTGTATGTATATACTACATTTTGTTTATTCATTTATCTGTTGATTGACATTAACATTTATCTGACCTTTTGATGTGAATAGTGCTGCTACGAACATTCATGTTCCTGTTTGAGTCCTTGTTTTTTATTCCTTTGGGTATATACCTAGGAGTGAAATTGTGGTCATATGGTAATTATATGTCTGAGTTATTGAGGAATTGCTAAAAACTGTCACCATTTTACATTCCCACCAGTAATTGTATGCGAGTTCCAATTTTTCCATATCCTCATCAACATTTGTTATTTTTGTTTTTTAAAAATAAGTATAGCCACTCTACAAGTGATTTTAAACCTTAATATAAATTCTTATCCCTCCTTGGGGCGTATTTATAACTCTACATTGTGTATTTTCTGGACACTTTTGAGTTGGTCCATTGCTGCATTGAGGGCACTTGTTCCCTGGGCAGGAGTGGGGTGCTCTTTGTGATTTCTGGTTAATGATAATAGTGCTCTCTGACCACCTGCACTATGTTGTTTGGGTATGTTAGACTTGGAGTGTTACTGTTGATTGCTGTGGACAGTTTTCATCTTTGCAGGGAAAATTTAAAGGTTTATGGCTAGAGTGAAGACTGTTCCTGGACATATTTTTACCACCTCCAAGTAATTCTATGCCAACAAATATAGGATAAGTAATTATTCATACTGTTTTGATGTCAGAGGGTACATTTGTAATAACTTCTGTAATTAGAGTTATTTGTAATAACTCTTATTACACTTGTAATAACTCTTCTGCTAAAAAGAAGCAGTGTCTTCTATTAGAAAATTGTTTTAGATTGCAGTATTTTGGCAACTTTAAGAGTTTTACTGTCTATTTTATGGTAACATTTTCTTCTCTGAGAGACAAATTTACATAATAAAATATGTAAGGAATTGTATTAAGCAGCAATGTTTAAGTACATTGTTATATACAGGCTTAAGATCCTAACCTGAACTTTTGAATAAATATACAACAGAGGTGTTTTAGTTCACTTAGGGGTGATCAAGGCTACAGTATTTATGCCACATTTTCAATGTCACAGTCTGCTTTCAGAACCCAGAGGAGGTCTTTGAATTAAGTACAAAGATCTAGAGATAAATATAGAAAGACAGAGGTCCATTCTATTACTTAACAGTCTTCCTCAGGATGTGAGTTAGATGCTTAGGTCATTCAGTTAGGAAAAAAACAAAACAGAAACCAAATACAACTTATTGATTGGTTAGGGATGTGGGTTAAATATTAGACTGCTATTTACTTTATCCTGCACTTCCCCAAAGAAGCCCATTAAGTAGAAACACAAATGTATGGAAATCACTTTAACACTACCTGATACTATACTATTGGGAAAGAAATTCTAGCTTTTTCAGAGAGAAACACTTATTACTAGTATAAAGCATCTCAAAAGATATCAGATAGTCTTCAAAGTGCTAATAGTCTGTTTAACTGGGGCAGAAACCATTAGTTAAATAAGAAAATTAATGAAAGAGTGGTAGAGAATAAAAGGCAAAGAAACCTATATCTCATAGTTTTTAGCACATAAACATTGGATTTTAAGAAACACTGCTATAGAAAAAGAAAGAAAAGAAACACTGTTGTACAATGACCTGCATAGTAGGCTTTGAATAATGTAGGAAAGAGAAAATGCTATAAATTGAACTGAACTAAAATACTTAACTTAAAGAAACAATCTGTATTTGTTGCTATCCTCAAAGGAGTTCAATTTTTCTATTTACCTGTCATTCAATAATGTTTATCTAGTGCCTTCTACATGCCAGGCACAGAGCTGAAGCAAGGAGTTGAGATGATGAACGGACAGGGAGTGAGAGGAATACAAAGATGTGCAGTCATAGAAGTACGTACAAAGGTCAGGAGCATTCAGGAGGAAGAAAGAGGAGGAAGACATTATCTGTCAATGGTGGCATATTTGAGGAAATTAACAAAGGAAGTGACTTGAGCTCAATTTTGAAGGTAAATACTGGTTTATCAGGAAGACAATGTGCAAGGAAATTTTGAGTAGCTAGAGCAACGTGGGCTAATACAGAGGCAAGAAACTATACAGTGTGCTCAGGAAAGACAAATAGTTTGGCATTGGTAGTTTTGAAAGTGTAAGGTTTGAGGAGGAATAGTGAAACATGAGTCTGGAAAGATATTCAAGGCCTGGGTCATGGAGTCTTTTTATTCCATGATAAGGGGCTTAGAATTTATTCAGCAGGTACTGACCAGCCATTTGATTGCTTTAAACAGAGGATTGGCTTGGGATTTTTGCCAAGATATTATGTGGAGCAGTGTTTCTCCTAGGACCATACACATTAAAATCTTCTTCCCTCATATGTGGAATTTAAGAAACAAAACAGAAGAACATAGGGGAAGGGAAGGAAAAATAAAATAAGATAAAAATAAAGAGGGAGGCAAACCATAAGAGACTCTTAACTCTATGAAACAAACTGAAGGTTGCTGGAGGGGAGGTGGGTGAGGGATGGGGTACCTGGGTGATGGGCATTAAGGAGGGCACTTGATGTAATGGGCACTAGATGTTATATGCAACTAAATTCTACCCCCCAAACTAATAATATACTATATATTAACTAAATTGAATTTAAATAAAAAATTTAAAAAAAATCTGCAGTGCTTGCTAAAAATTCAGAGCTCTGAACTGCATTCCAGATCCACTGAATCAGATTTTCTGCATGGGGGTGGGGGTGGGGGTGAGGGTGGAAATCAGCATGTTCAACTAGCTTCCAGAAAGATTCCCTTGCACCCTGCAAGGATTGAAGGAATGGGCAAGACTGAATGCAGAGAGATCATCTAAGAGGTGATATGATACTCCAGGTGAGAAAGTTTGAGGAGGCAAGAGTGGGGATAGAAGGATGAAGAGTAGATGATGAACTTGAAAGATATTTTAGAGATAAAATTAAATGCAGTTGGTGATTAAATCAGTGAAGAGGATTCAAGCCAGGTTTCTGTCTTAATTGGGTCATGCACCAATAGTTTGTATTGTTTTAATAAATTATAATTTTTCCTTGAACTCTAGGATTTAAAAATTTTATGCATCTCTAAATTTGTTTTATTGTTTCCTTTTCAGGCCAATTCGTTGTTTTATTGTTGTTGAGTTTTACAGTAGAAAAAGTGGAAAAATTGTGGATTTGTTAATATCTGTTAGAGTCAACTTACCAGGTAAATATTTATTCATTTAGTTGTATTTCCCAAAGTACCTAGTTGCTTCTATGAATAGAATGAACAAACAGTTTTATTTCTGATATTTCTGAGAGAATTTATACTTATAAAATTTAAAGTCTAATTAATCTTACAACCAAAGCCATTGGAAGCATGAACAATGAGCTGGAGACACAGTGAGTTTAGTAGATTGATCTTTCAAGTCAGGCAAAAATCAACAAAATTTCAAGTATGTACATTTGTCTCTGTCACTGTCCCTTTTTTATCTCTTCCTTTCTAGTCCTATCCTGAAGAAGAGATTCCTTATATATTCCTTGGGCCTATTGTTACTCTTACTAACTAAAGTGCTGACAGATAAGAACCAAAGCTATAATTCTTTTAAGGAGTTTGGCAGGGATTATAGTGCTCACCCATCTCTATGCTTCCCTACATTTCCCAGCTGCCTATGCAATTAGGTTGGCCATGTGACTGAATTCTGGCCCACAGAATATAAGTGGAAATGATATTCTCCACTTGTCGGCTTCCATGATCTGCATCCTGTGAATCTAAAACATCCTTTACCATCCATCTTCCGTCCTCTCTTTATCTCATCCCTGGTTCCCTTAAATGATTCCAAACATCTGCATTAGATGTTACATGAGCAAGAAATACTTTTATTAATGTCAGGTCACTGAGATTCTAGTTTATTCTATAGCATAGCATTGTTTATTCTGATCAATGCATAGATTATTTTTAGTTGACTAAGGGAATTTCAGTTACAGATGGATGAAAATAATGATAAAATGACAGTAACCAGGGTGACTTTCTTGGGGTAAAAAGGGATTCTTTTGATACAGCCTTAAATCACATCATGAAGACTGCTCTCCTTGAGCCCTGAGAATATTGTATTGACATTAGAATTTGTCTCTTACTTCTTTGGTCCTGCTCACATCATGTGTCAGGTTTTTTTTAATTAAAATGGGGTGACTAATACCCATGTAATAGAATTATTATGGGGATTAAAAGAGATGCCATATGTAAAGTGTCTAGACCAGCGCCTAGCACATAGCAGGTGCCAGAGCCATCCTGGGAGAGCATCAGAGATGCAATCCCCATAATTAACTTTGTAAATTTCTGATGTGATTCACAGATGGGTGTTATTTACATTAGTGACATTTAGTAGTTTTTAAATTCTTATTTAAAAATTGCACTCTCCAAATTCCAGTGTCAAGGGGGTCTGACTGCCCTGCCCAAGTTGATGCATAGATAAGTGCCCAAGTAAATGGTAATTATTGTTATTTCCTGTTACTCTTCAAAAGGAGGCAAGGGCAACACTGCCATTGTGAGGATGATTATTCTCCAGGCTTGGGCCAGAAAGGCTGAATCTCTATGGTTTTGGCTATTAGCTGGGCTGTGGTGTGCAACTGATTGGATTGATGCCAATCTGACTGATTTGTTCTAAAGGCCAGAAAAACTGGACTGAGCCGTGGGCATAATAACCATGTGTTCTAATCATGTTTATCCTCAACTTGTTTCTTTCTGTTAACAATAGCAGGAAGAGTGTTGGTGGGGATGGTGTGATGGATTTCAAAAGACCTGAGATCAGACCTCAGTAGTTCCCAGCTTTACTACTGTGTGACCATGAAGACTTACTTAACCTTCCCAGCTTCATTTCCTCACCTTTGAAATGAGAGGTTGGACTAGAGGATCTTTAAGGATCCTTTCTCTAATCTATCATAACCCAAACGTAGTTGAAGTTCCACATGGCTCAGTCTCAGTGCAAGAATGAATTCAAATAAGTGGTATGGTACCCAAAAAGTAACTAGAGTTCTTAAAATATTTTTTTACTTTCTCAATAAACTGCTAGATGGGGTGTGCATTTTCCTGGGAGGGTATTTTTTTTTTTTAAAAATATCTTTATTGAGATACAATTCACATACCATACCATTCACCCATTTAATGCATACCATTTAGATTAGATTTTAGTATGTGATAGGCATTCTTAATATAAAAAAAATCTCTCTACTTCACTGTCATCCTCATTCCCTTCCACATGTACATTTGGGGCTCCCCAAAATTCTGAATCTCTCACTGACACCACCCAATCTCACAAATTCTCCCCAGCATCCATTCCACTTGATTCTCTGGCCTCCCTCCCTCCTTTCTCCTCTTAACACCTCTCTTAGCTCTTTAATATAGAGATCAACTGGGACTGGTTTGTTTTCTATTTTTATCTCTATCTGCTCATTATTCAGATTCCGAGCAACAAAGGAGAGTCCAAGAACAACCTGGACAGGTGAGAAATTTTTCCCTTTAGACATAAGAGGGGGACATGGGGTCTGGAGAGAAGACTGTGAAGGTTTCTGCTTAAATATTCCTCTTCCTATTGCACTATGGGCACAGCATGTCTTGTTCTCCCACTTGTTCTTCCCCTCTGTGCCTCCAGTCAGCTCAGCCATCGTGCAGAAGTGGAAGTACATGTCTTTGCCCCCTGCTCAAAATAAAGCTGTTACCTTTCTAGCCCTGTCCGCCATGGTGCT